AATTGTATTTTTCATAAAGTTCTCGAGTGGCGTCAAATCGGGAAATCTTGGTGGCCAAGGCACTGATCCATTTTGCGATATGATGCTAAATAAGTCAATGGTTTCTTGGACAGTATGACAGATAGCGCAGTCTTGCTTAACCACACATGATCCGCTTCAATGTCGTCCATATTATTAAATAAATAATCACTAGTCATTGTATGGTAACGTTGTTACCATGGTCATTGACTATACCACACCATTTTTTGACGCTCAAAATCTTGTGGATTAAAGTTAGGTAAAATGTATGTGGTACGAAATTTATTCTCAATACGACAAATAGTCCATAAGTGGACCATATAAATCACGTAATCTTGGAAATTTTATTAAGATACATTAAGTAAATAGTTTACTAGATAGTTTACAAAATAATGTAGTTTTTGAGCTACTTTTACGAGATTTCTATTTTTATACCAGTATAAAATCGCCGCTATCTATCCAATTAAATTAAAATTTGTACAGAATTAAGAATATATACAGGGTGAGTTATTTAACTTGAACCATTGAAATATTTCAGTTATGCATTTTACGAAAAAATGATTAAAATAAAAATTAAATGATTCGAGGCGGAAAATCAATCAGTACTGAAATTGGTCCTCATGCTCTCCTCCTTATAGGGGGAACAGGGGGTAACTTTAAAATTTCCAATGGAACACCCTATTTTTTATTGCATATTCGAATCATTCGACTAAAAATAGGTAGATTTTGTCTAAAACATTTTTTCATATTTGTAATAGATGGCGCTGTAAAAAATAGTTATTTGTTTTACAAGTGTTGAAAAGCGACTTTTTCATGCGAGTTCAAGTTGCTCACGAGGCCGTCAGGCCGAGTGTGCATTAACAAGAGCTTGAAGAAAGCTTTTCTCACAAGTGAAACACAATGTTTTTTCTACGACCCTTTTATTTTTTATTATAGGTATTCAAATACAAAACAAAATACCCTAAAAACGTGCTTGACAGCTGTTAAAATTACTTTCATCTTTTTCTTTTAATTTTAAAGGTATAAGTTACTTAAAATCAATAAACTTACATTCTCAATTTAAATAAAGGCACTAAAAATTAGAATTTATTATACAAACACAATTAATTGTGTTCTAAATAATATTTAGACATACATATACAAATACAATACAAATTTTGAAACGAATGTCAATTTCTTTTTACACAGACCTGTCACTTTTTACACAGAATTGTAACTTTACATTCGTGTTTTGCCTTGCCAATGAAAATATTCATTTTCTAAGCAACGATGTCATTAAGAAAAGTGACTTTTTCTTAGTGGTCGTAGAAAAAATCATTTTGTTCGATTTTTCTTCTGTATACGATTCTCCAATAATTTTTGAATAAAATACTTGGTTTTATTTTTTAAATTTATTTATTTATTTTTTAAATTCGACTTCAATGCATTTATTAATTTGCATTTCGTTTTAATATTTTGATAACACTGCTCTGGGATATTCTCAAATCTCTGGGTAATTTTCGTGTGCTTGCATAAGGATTAGCTGCCGTTGCTGCTAATACATTAATTTCATTATTTCCACCTGTGACTGTTGCTCGACGAACTCTTTTTTTCGATTGAACACTCAACAGTGGATTAACCTATAGGCCAACCTAGGCCATGGCCTAGGGCGCCGCGAAGCCAATAGGCGCCCAGGCAGAAGGCTCAATTTTTTTTTTAAGTAGGTTGAATATTAAAATTAATCATATATTATATCACGAGAACTATGAATTTAATCGGGTAAACTAGGCTCAGTAGTTTTTTGTTTGGTTTTTGTTGGAAAATGTGGAATGCAAAATAATTTAATAAAATCACGAGACCGCGTAGCGGTCGAGGGGTTTTATTTTTAATTATTTTGCATGAAACTATTTTCCAAAAAGAAAAATCAAATAAAAAACTTACTGAGCATAGTTTGACAGATTAAATTTATAGGTTGAGTGATATACGTCTAGATTATTTCTCGAATTAAAGGAAACTATTTGACCATTCATAAAATCTGACGTATGTGCAAAGTTTATAAATATATTTTTTTTAAATTCCATTAATTTAAGGTATGTAATAAGTAATAATTGATATTTCGTAAACTAGATAACTTATTTTTTATTGTTTTTTAAAAAATGTTTGTTAAAACTTGTAAATAACACCATAAAATCGTAAACAAAAATCCAATATGGAGGCTAAAATTTAATCGCTGTTAAAAAGGTCTAGTGATTTAATCGCTTATTTAAACGAAATTTATTCGAAAATTCAAGGCTTTTGATTGGTTCATATTATATTGAGGGAAATAATCAATTAAAATAAATAATTATAATTATTAAACGTGTAATACCCTTTTTTATTTTAAAAGTAAAATCGGAAATAATATCGTCGTTGATAATGCAAAAGGTCGACACGTGTCACGCCTTTCTGCAGAAGAGAAATAACCCCCTAAAATAAAAAAATCGGGATAAATGGGTTAATTATCTCGATTTTTTTTTTAAATTTTTGTGGGTTGGTTCCCTTGTACAGAAAGGCGTCAAAGTGACCTTTTGCAGTATTAACGTCGAAGGGTAAAATTCTGTTTTAGGTTATTTAAAAATTGTAAAAATTAAGTTAGTTCTTGATTATTTTGTTGTTCTATATACAAATATTTTTTTTTAATTTATTTTATTGTAATTTTGTCCCCCTATGTGCACCCCTGTGATGACATGTCCGCTAACATGTATTGTGTTATATTAATACCATAGGTACTAATATGGACTGTAATTGGACGCCTTTCTGCAGAAAGGAACCAACCCACAATACCAAAAAAAATCGAGATATTTAGCCTATGAAGTATGTATAATTTATCTGCAAAATAGGTCATAGCCAAAATGCAAGTGTAGTGAAATCTATTAATCATTGAACCAACCAACATTCAATAATAGTGTTGATTACTAATCCAGAATTAGAATCTGTAGAATATTTGCAAGTGGGTTGGATCTTTTTTGTAAAAAAGCAGGCTGGTAGACCCACTACCAAAGTCTTTAAAGATTTCCTGCTTCTGCAAAATATAAAGTCTTGATGCATTTTTTTGGTAGCTTACAAGATGAGGTGGGGTTGGAAGATGATGTGGAGGAATTTCAAATAGAATCAAAATTAATTCATATTACCATTATAATAGTAATATCAGTTGTATTTTGTTTGGAAATAAATAATTGTCGCTTTTCTTTAAATACATACATACATCAGATAGTAGTTTTCATAAATTGCAGAAAGGAACCAACCAACAAAAGCCCATTTTTTTCGTCACCCTTACACATAACATCACAAAATCCACCTGATGAAATTATTAAATTATATCCCTTAAACCTCCGTAAGTCCAAAATCGGCATAAAATTAACAGGTAATTTTAAAATTATTAAAATCTTTGATAGCTTTTTTCTCAGTTTCATCATGGTGTGGGTTGGTCCCATTCTGCAGAAAGCCGTCCAATTATAGGCGCCATTATTATTGGCCTAGGGCGACAAATTGTCTTAATCCGGCCCTGTGAACACTCCCGTTTGTAGTAAACTGCTTGACTGTACGGTGAAATGAAGTACGTGATCGAATTTTATCCGGAAAACGCTGAGCGTAGATATTAACAGCATCATCAAGATTCCTGTCTGCTTCTCCATAAATCAAAATCATTTCAATTTTTTCTTTCACTGTTAAAAAATCCTAAATTGATTATTAATGCTAAACTATAAATAGTTTCTTTATACATCAATAATAATTATTATTTATAACTAAATACCATTTTTTTATAGAAAATCCTTTTTTTATTCTTTAACATTAACAGCCGCTTATTGTAAATAAGTAAATTAAGGACGGCATAGCGAATTGATTTTGACATTAACTCTCAAACCAATGACTGTGATACCAACTTTTTAAAGTAAAATTCGACCAAATTAAATTTAATGTATAAAATTATTTTTTTAGAGAATATTTGCAAAATAGATAAAATAGCATAAAGAACTCTTGTCATAAGACCTTTTGTCGCACTCGTCCATTACAAAATTCGCTCCTTCGTCGCTCGTTTTATAAATTGTCCGCGTGCGACAAAATGACGTCTTATGACATTAGTTCTTTAATATACTATTTTCTACTCCTATTATAGAATATGACCGTTCTAGCATCACTTTTTAATGTGGTTACAGAATGAAATATTCTATATTTATCTATATTCTATATCTAACAACTTTTAGACCGATCCAACCTCACTTTCCCCCAATTAAATTATTTTTTTATGGTATTTTTGTAAACGTAGAAAAAGTAAAGTCTAAAACACATTTGGAATTGCATATTCCGCTTTCGTAAAACCGTCCAAACTTTTTACCCGAGCGGAAAATGCCGTATTCCAAACTTGTTACAGAATATACTATGATTGACATGATTCAAGTGAAATTTATGTTTTCTAACTAAGGCTGTCATAACTTTGGTGATGAATGCCCGATAAAAGATATCTTTTTTAAACCACTCAAGCTGGATTTTTTATTTCTTTAGTAAAGTAAAGATATCATTAATAGACTGAGTGTTTTCTTTTTTTGTATTGCAGAAAAAATCTAGAACTTATTTCTTTCTAGTTATTATTATTATACCCAATTTTTTTCTTTTAAGTATACGATTAAAGGTCAAAATAACGGTTTTTATAAACAATGTTAATGTTAAACATGTTTAAGTCAAATTTTTAAACAGTGATGCACCATTTTCAATTTGCCTGCTTTGATGTAAAATATTCTAAATGTTGAACTAGCCAATACAACAGACCAATACACAAGTAAACCATTTATTTCCTTTCCTATACAGAAAACCAATAAAACAACGTTATTTACCGAGAGCACACACACAAACAGAACACCGGGTCTCTAGATATCGCGCACGGCCCCAGCGACATTTGTAGGGAGCTTGGGGAAATCAACGTGGCAACAGGGCGCGTCGCCGTAATATACAGTCGCGTTCCGGTGTTCGGCGTTAAAAGATGTCAAGGCGGCCCTGATGTCAGTGCATTTTCGACCATCGAGCGAACAAAATGCACGCCTGAGCATCTCGCCAACTGAGACGTCGTCGATTCACGTAACGTCATGCAAACAAATAATGTTTCGAGTGGACTGATTTGCGGCGTTGCACTTTAATTATTTACGCGCTTATTTCAATAATAATAAAAGTAATTAATAGACAATGAACAGGGTAACGACAGTGTTGCTTTTTTGTGTGATTCTGTACGGAAGTAAAGGTAACGTTTTTGTTTATTTTGATGTGAATGCATGCAGTTTACGGGGTTGTTGAAGTGTAATCAATAAACTAACCCTTGTCAATGAAGGGAAAACGTTTTAGGGGATTTGTGAAGAGAAACGTATTGTTTCGCGGTGTACAGGATGTGATTTTAATTGAATTAATTAATATGATTTCATTTAAATTTAAAGGGTTTCATTTGAGCATATTTTTAATTAGAATATAAATTATTGTTATTAAATAATATTAATTGATAAAATTTTTATTTGAATGCCGATTAAACTCGGCTTTGTATTATAATATAATGTTCGAATTATATGCACATATACACACACATATTTTCAATTACAATAAACAATAAATACATAATAGTTTTCAATTTTAGAAATTATTTATTAAATCTTATAGTTGCAAAAAATGGCGAATGCGCCGGGATGAAAACCAATATTTACCCTGTAACTAACAATATTAGATTGATCTAACTTTGTAAATATTGAATACATTTTGGATTATTAATTTAAATTGTATTAAACATATTTTTCCAAAGCTTTTTTGGATTTTGTCAAAAAAACGTCATATTGTTTTTTTACTGTAAATAAAATTTATTCCAACTTTAAAAAGTCCCATAAACATAGAAAAAATGTTTTTAAATAGTTTAAAAAATGCAAAGTAATACTATATTAATATACGAGAGATAATAATACACGAGGATGAGGTTTGCGTCTCGAGTCGCCAGGCGAGAGATTCAAATCATCCGAGTTAGTAATTCGCATAATTTTGAGTGTAATAAAATTTAAAACCCGATTGGTTCAAATTACAGTGAATATTGAAATAGGCCAATCACTGATGCCTAACAACGTGAATAATGAGTTCATTAGTCCCGTTGTTAGGCATAAAATTTATGTTTATCAATATTCACGGAAAAAAAATTATGAAATAGGTACGCTAAAGAAGCATTAGAATTTAAGAATTGTCAACAATACATTTAAAGCATACGAACTGCACATCATTTGTGTTTCGCGTTGCAAGTAAAAACTAAAAAACTTTGGTTTAGTACTCTCTAAAAATGAAATATTCAAAATTCCACTATTTGAATTAGTACCAGCATTTTTTACTAATAAAATAGTCGTTTTCACTTTTAATTTGTTATTTTTTACCACGGAAATAGTTAAAATTTGAATAATTTAAGATTATTCACCATCTTTGACTATTTCTGAGAGTTAAAAGTAACTAATTTCTTTAATCGTTTGCGGCCAACAACAAAGTATTATTTGAATTAAATGCATATACCTAAGCTCCATGGTTAAATGACCCATAAAAACAAATAAAGATGCAAAAAGTTTAGCTCTAAACAGCAACAAAAATAATATATTCGACTTTAAAATATTATGAACAATATTTATTGACAAATAAAATTGATTTTTATAAGAGCGGCTGACAGCCGAATGGGTTATGACAACAGCTTGACAAGCTTGACAAGTGACAGACTTGAGTTCAATCCCCCGCTATGACAATTAGTCAAATATCATATGATATAGTTATTTTTGACTAATTCATTTTAAGAGAGTACTCGATTTCGATTTATTATTCCTTATATCATTGATTAAGAAACTCAACGCGTATATGCTTATATAGTAACGTTAGTGTTTGTATTTTATCTCAGTGATTATGGTGAATTATTGTGTTTTTAATTGTTAATCAAATTCAAGAACTCAATCGTTGCATTTTTATGTTTTGCCAAAGGATCCAATGCAATTTGTTGGTGCAGAATTAACTTAGGATAACTTTACCTAACATAATTTATTTTTAAGTTTGTTGTAGAAACATAACCTTAAAATCAATATTTTTATATTATCTAAAAAACGCCTACATTTTAAACGTCAAAATATACCTACGAATTTATGACAACAAAAAATTATATATAATACCGGTTCTTGGTATTTTACTGTTGAGTGGAGACTTTCTTAATAAACGCTTTTAATAATGCTAAATGCTGTTTGAATTTAGACGACTTATTTGTTTTATGATTTTTACTAAATTGAAATGTTTACAATTTTTACGTAAATCATAACTTAAATGTGTATTTATTGTATCTAATAGGTAGGTACAATTTATATTTACAGGGACTGTATGCAATTTATTTCTTTATTCGAATTTCCACTGTTTATTGGGAAACGGGTAAAAACTCCACCTAGTATTTCCTCTCGAAAAACACCCAACAACACAACAAATCATGTTACGGTATTTTTATATATTATTAACATAATCGTACAGCAATGCTTTTTAGCGTATAGGATTAGATAAAAGTATTATACAATTTTATTATTTAGGAATAACGTACAAATTTTAATTAAAACACATTACCAAGTGTATATGGTGTATATTTCGCTACCAAAACTTAATTTAAATATTTAGGAAATGTCCTTTTGGCTTATTTTATGACTTAAAATTCATATAAATATAGTTTTGCAAATGCTTCGTTACCGATCTACAGGGTGTTAAATTTTATGTTTAATTAGTTTTTTTATAGCTCCTGTCTTTACTGAGGTATTTAGCTCAATTTTGGAATATAGTTTACGCTGTTACAGTACAGGGGGATATTTTTTCAGGGATTATACCCCCTTTTCTCCCCCTGATTTTTTATGCGGTGCGTTGCCGGTAGTAAAGAAAATGAATTTTCTATTTTGTTAAAAAACTTTTTGGTCTCCTGTAGTTTTTTCGTATCGGGTGGAGAAAAAAACAACTACAGGTTTGGACAATACAAAAAACCTAAATAATAAGCATTAGAAAAAAATTACGTCACTATCATTTGGCGTGCCCAATTATGAAAATCCTGTTAACTTATATTCCCAATTTAAGCCTAAAATTTTGAAAACTGCAGGAGCTGCAAAGAAAAAACTACAAAAAATCTTGAAACTTGCGAACATATGTATGTTGTATGAATGTTTACTCATGAAATAGGCCCTTTCGTATGAACATCATATCTAGGAACACCCTGCATAATACGATGTCTAAGTAACTAGAAACAAAAATAACAACATTAATATTTATTTTATTATACTCTACTTAAGGTTTTGTGCTTATATCTTATTTTCTCAAATTCCACAAATAATGTTATCCCATACAAAAAATTGATTCTGCGATACATACAAGAAAGTACCAGAATACTACACGTTTTAAAAAAATAATACGTTTAAAACCTTAAAATATACTCCAATCGCATATTTTTAAAACAAAAAGCTTAATTTAGTTAGTATCAAAAATGGCGAATGCGCCGGGATTAATAGTATTATACTAGAGATAAGGTACGAGGATGAGACCAGAGACTCAAATCATCCGAGTAAATAATGCGCATAATCTCGAGTGTAATACTATACTTTATCTACCTACTCCAATAAGTAAATAATTAAAATTAAATAAATAAAATCTGACTTCTGTCAAATGGTTGTTAACCTTACTTTTAACCAATTTTAATTGTTAATATATTTGGATTCCCCAATTTAAAACCCGATTCGTTAAAATTACAGTAAATAGTGAATAATGAGTTCAATATTCCCGTTATTAGGCAGGGAATTTATAATGTTTATCAATATTCATGTGAAGAAAAACCAAATTATGCAATAGGAGTAGATAATAGTATATTATGTATCAAGTTTTATAAACGCCATTTTATACACGAATTTAATTTAGGCACGAGCGAGCTTGCAAACGAGTGTATAGAAAAGTTTATAAACGAGGTGCATACTATACTTTTTCTACGACAAAAACTTATTATTATCTTAAAATGATTTAAATCAAAAAATTGTATAGAGCGCCATCTATGAAACAACAGGGGAAACTATCAAATGTCACATTTTTACATTTTATAACCACAATTATAAAGGTTATAAATAGAAATGTATATTGAAAATTGACAGTTTTTTACAGTGAAAGTAAAGGAAATGTTTTATGAGGACTTTACAGTAGAGTCCGTGCCCGAATTTACTGCCGGCGAAATTAAAAGGTCAGAACAATGTTCATATAAACTTTTCAAATATTGGCGTTGAGAAACTATTTAATATTTTTGTATTTTTGTATTGAGATAATAAAATAATTTTCACATTTAGTATTATTTTACAAGAAAGGCACTTTATTTTAATGATTGTATGACATTTGACAACTAACTTAAAACTAACTTCAGTCCGTGACTAAAAACCTGTTGCTAACTTCAGCCCGTGACTAAAGCGCCGTAAAGCCACAACTTGTCAATGTGTATTTAAAAGGTCACTTAGAGTCATGGAAACATGTGCGATAAAGGGCGTTTTAAAGGTAGGAGTAGAAAAAATATATTTTAAACGAACATCCGTATTTCATCCTATTTTCTTCAAGGATATTTATAAAATACTTTTCATATTATAGCACTCATAAGTCTATATAAAAATATGTCATATTAAAACTAATTTAAAGTCAAAATATTATAAACCTTAGAAGCTAAAATGTCATCATTTCAGTTAAACCTTACCTAAAACTACGAATATGTAATATACGTAATATGACAAGGTCTTAATAAAACATTTTAATTAAATGCCTAAATAAAATGATATTTAAATCACGGCGGCGATAATTTTTGAAACCAAAAAAAATAACAGTAGGATGAAACCCATTGGAAAAGGAGAAGAATATAATAAAAATGAAAGGAAAAATAAATTACGGGCGATCTGACTTCGGGAAGTGGGAGGGGGGGGGGGGTTTTAAGGGTAAAAAATGGTTTATCTCGATTTTCGGCAAAAGTACAAGTCCTATGGAAAAAAGTTAAATGGCAAAGTTGTAGGTAATAAAAGGATCTACAACTTTTGTATTTACAATTTTTTCACATAACCTCAAAATTTATGTGAAAAATTCAAAAAACCAAGTTTTTGGTTTTTTATTTTTATCTTTTTCAAAAAAAAATTTTTTCCACGAAATTTGGTGAAAACTTACCTTTTTATGTCCCAAATACACTGTAATTTATTTGATTTGAAA